GGCAGATACATGCTTTTTGCAAGCATATGCATAAATACCCATACATATTTCATATTTTTCATTTCCGGCATGTGCAAATCTTTAATTTCTGTGCATTCACTATATTTTTCGTGTAAAGTAATTTACACTAATTTAGCATACACCTGAAAGTTTTACATAAAAAATATATATGAATATAATTTGAATGAAAATTATAAGTATTATTTTTAATATCCACTCAAAGGTCAGTTTTTTTTCAAAATTCCTCCACGATGGCATCTCTCTTTTTAGGCAGATAGCCCTTGCATGCGTTACTCTATTTAATAAAAACTTAACCTGACCTATGTGCCTAATAACAAATATTTCAACATGCATACTTTTATATTTACATTTAGCCATCAAATTTCAGACTTTTGATATAAAACACGTTTTAGGATATATTCATTATCAAACTCAAAACTTCCAGTAAATAAATTTTGGCAGAGCACTCAATACCTCTTTTAGCGATTTGACCCAGTTTTATAATTCTCTGATAATATAATAAATAATAACTATCTATTTCGCATTTGAACATTAACCGCATTGTCATCAGATCGCAATCTTGATTGCCTTACTCTGTATAATATTGCTTCATTCGCCGAGTTCGCAAATGTATCCGTCTTCCGTTCCACACATTTGTGTAAAACTGTAGATAATTTTACACAAATGTGCGGTTACAAATCAAGGAAAAGTTAACTTATTGGCATATCTCTGTGTATATTTATTAATTTTGAAAAGAATTGCAGCATTTAATGGTAGTTTTATTTTTTAATTAACCCAAATAAGTAAAAAGTGTAAACTCAAAGTGATTATTTTTCAATTATATAAAAATAAAATGATGACTTTGAAATGAGCAACTAACTATAAAGCTTCTCCTCTAAAATTTTTTAAAAGGTAACATGTTACAGTAACATCCGGATGACAAAAAAAAAACAAAAAAAAAAAAAAAAAAAAAAAAAAAAAAAAATTATTTAAAACATTTTGGCGTTTGAAACATAAAATAAATGTAGCGAATCATCAAGTATCAAGGGTATTGAAAGACGTGCATAATTTTAAAGGTACCGTAAAGCACTTTTCATTCTTTAAGCATAACATTTATATTTTTGTAGTTCAACAGCTTAGAATTTTATAAAACAAATTCATAATCAAAATCGGTGTTGTTAGTTATCGAAAGATAACCAAGAAGTGATTTTTGCGTAATTCTCATGAAACTATACAAATTACTATTATCCACCACACAGTGAATGTTTCTTTTATGTGGAAGTGTCCCGTTTTTCGATTTGTATGGAGCTGTCGTGTGTCGAAATATTATCAGAGCGCTGTAAACTAAAAGCACCCCATCTGGAGAACGAAGCCTCCGAGCAGTGCTTCACTTGAAGTGCGGAGTTGGCCCCTCCTTCCTTACTTACCTCCATGGTAATTCGAAACTCTTGACCGGGAAACTTAGTTGCTCTATTTTCTGGAATGTGAAAGAAATTTTCCTTTCCATGTAAAATGCGGATCACTTTCTTTAGCTAAGTCGATTGGACTGAACCAGCTTTCTTCCTGACGTATTTTTATACGGGCTGATGTTTCTTTATCTAATGTCTTCATTAATTTATCTGCTACCATTAATTTGTAGAAACTTCAAAATCTTCAACTTTCTTCTATTTACACTAATAATCCCACTTCTGATACCAATGAAACTGCTGGTTCGTTTGAGTATACCTTTTGGTCCACAAACGAAGGAAGCAGTTTAAAACTTTTCCTCAAATATTAAATTTATTTTCACAAAAGAGATGTGTATATATTGAGGGAAATATTATTTACAAACTTAATTACAATTAATATTAATATGCCTGTCTTTAAAGGAACAAGGTGCACTTCTGTACAGTGCAGCTTTGGCATATATTCTTAAGTGTACGCCAGCGGCTATTGTGCAGTTACTTCTCTACTGTCCAAGCCTCAAGAAGGAGTGCCTAAGTGAATCATTACCTGCGGTAATCAACCGCTGAGGGGGGGTACTAACATTTCCAGCTTGAACATGATAGGGGAGGAAGTATGAGACATTAAAACGGCTTTATTCAAATTTCTGGGATCCAAACAAACCTTTGAACTTGATTTGGTTTAAACATTCTTATCCTACTATGACATTTTTTTTCCTTTGAGAACATACAGACTCCCCGTGCACCACATATGTACAACACGAGGCTACTATGACATTGTTAACCCAATCTTTTGGCTTATTAACTTCTCAAAACATTCCTCGGGATTTTAAATTATCTAACGCAAATTTAAGATTATTTTTAAGTGACAATGGATCATAAGGAAACTAAACTAAATCCCTAAAAATTCCACTATATATATTTTTGATATCATCTTCAGCATGTGACTTAATATTTAATAAGATTTTAAACCATAGATATGTTTGGAAGAAATATTTACAATAATAAAATTTCCTGGAATATTGCAAGCATCATTAACACTATAGTTCAATAACATTTTATGATCTGGTTTTTAACTTAAAATTACCATATAACACTAACGTTACACCAGTTTTAGTTAGCGGATTATCTGGTCAGAGCTCAATGTTCTTATATATACACATTAGTTTCAGCTTCTGTTTCAATTACATTATTTTCAGCATTAACTCATTTTATTTGTGCATTATCTAATAAATTAATACTTAGCACATTATCAAATTTCACTGTTTGTTTCGATATGCTATCAATATATAAACCCACATTTTGCTTATTACTCTTAATATCGTTCACTTTACGGTAACTGGTGGCGTTTCACAGCTCTGTACATAGCTGCAAAATTATTTTTTATTTCAGTGAAACTGTGGGGTTCCACCTTTTATCAAGCCACTAAGTGTGGAGGAACCTCATGAAAAGCTAAGCGAATAATCGCTTAAGTTCAGTAACAGAAACGTAAAACTCACGAAGGGTAAATTAGCCTTTATTTCTTAAAATAAGAATGAACATTCGGTCCCTTTCTCAGGGCGTACAGCAAAGCCTGCACTGGGCTTAAAATTCAAAAATAAGAAATAAGAACTTAACTAATGGATAACTAAAGAGATGTAGCCGAAGCTACCACAAATCTAACTAGTTGGCCCCTGAATTTCGAAAAAGCTAGCGAAGCTATCAAGGGCCTGGAATACGGTCATGCGTAGTAACAGCTTAGAGAGACGTGGCCAAAAGGCAAACGCGTGCTAGTCAGAAACTCTGAGGCTCTCTCTCGAAGTCAACGTAAATATTACTTTTACTCATTTGCATTAAACGCAATTCTAGAAACACATTCTGGTAGAGAATTGTAAGCTGAAATTAGGAGAGACAGGAAATGATTTCAACTTAAAATAACTGTTAAAAACTTAGGATAAGCCTTATAAAACACATTATCACTTAACACTGTTCTTTTTAAAATTTGCTGTCTTTTTTGAATATTTTCCACTGTTTTTCTTGATTTCATAATAGAGAATTTCTTCTGGTGCCCAGAACTAATCGATCTCTGATCAGCCTTCCTTCTTATTAACGAATGTTGCATGTAGAGGGTAATGCTTTAAACTGTGTAAAGAACTGTCCAGTTGGGGGCCATCTCATTGGGATTAGGAAAAAAGATTTGACTCTTTTAAACCCCCTTTAACCTCTTTTAAACCACGGAATGAAATAGTTCATAAATATTTTCATAGTATCATGAAATGATTCTTTATTTTTATCTTTAGATGTGTGTTGAATATTTTCACGCCTTCATCACCTAGCCGATTAACCAAATGGCTATCTTTATTGTATCCGGCTTGGTTTCTTTTTCTGCTGCAATCAAGTAGTTTTTAAATTTGTAATAATTAATTCCATGTTTCAGCTAAGCTGTTGCATGTAAATTTGATTTCACTTGGTGGCAGAATTTATTCTATATTCAAAGCCAAATAGAACACTCATTTCAAGATAAGGAAAATCACAGTTTTATCTTAAAATCTCACTTGTTGAATAACACATGAAAGTACATATCAATACAATTACATCTTCATTTACGACGCATGAAACAAAAAATTACTGACAGCATATCATTCGTATTGATGTTCGTGCTTCACAGACTCAGTGCTTAATTTCTAAATAATAATAGTCATTTAATTACACAACAATGACACATTGGCATTCAGCCATACAGCGTATGCCATATAATTAGCAACAGCTACGTAGATACAGTTGCAGTTATATTTGTAACATAATTACAATTCTATTCACAATACGCTTAGAGTTACAGAAGAGTTACATATGTTTTAATACATCTGACGTACTTATTTTCACACGGACGGCCAGCTTTTCTTTCGGAAGTCTGTAAGTTTAAATATAAGTTTCTTAGCATTTCATTTTAGACGCTGATTTTCACAATTTAGTTGTAAAGCATAATTCTACATAATTTCAGAATAGAATCTGAATTTACTGCTTATTTTCTTCTGTTAAGCTCATATTTATTTGCTGGCCAGTTCTTCTTAGAAATTCTATAAATTTTTATGTAAATTCCTAAGTGTTCCGTTTTAGAAGTTAATTTTCGGAATTTAATTATTATGTGTGACATTACTTGCTTTTTCTGGATAGATTTCGCATTTAGGTAATTCCGTATTTTCTTGTCATTCTTCGAGTTTTATATACATGCCAATAAAGTTCAAGATTTGATTGACGTTTAGAATTATTTATTTGGAAGCTATTCTTTTAGAATTATGTAAGTACAAATAGACGTTTCTTAGCCTCCTATTTTAAATTTGAACAAAGGTTTGATGAAAATTCATTTTTGGTTAAAACAAATAAGAGTTTTCTTTTGTAACTGATATTCATTTTTTTTTATTTTTTACATCTTAATTGTATTTTATGTATACTTTGTATTACGTTTTTTTATGAGTTGTAGGTATTTATATAAATATTTAATTTTTTTTATTTTTTATTCCTATATAATTTTTTTGTTTCTTTTTTTACTAACCAAAATTTATATTTCAAAATTTGCAGGAAGATGAAATGCTAGCGTTTCAAGCAAGAATTTCAGAAGATCCACTTATTCAATTTTTTAATTCATGTGGACAATTCAAGTCTGGAAGCTTCTGATCCAAGTAATTTTAAATCCTTTAAATATGTAATTTTAGAATGGTTAATAATTATGATTAAATCGTTAAAATTTAAATTATATTTGTTATTATATTAAATTTTATAATAGGAATGAGACATTCGAATACTCGAATTTCACGAATCTTCGAAAAGTTTCGGGATCTGAGGACTCGAATCTCCCCCCTTTTTTTTACTTTATTTCAGTATTTCGAAAATTGTTCAAAAAACATTCGTTTAAATTTATGGAAAAAAAATGGTACATTTCCTGTAATATTTGGTGTCTTTCATTTTCGGCATTATTTCCAGTGTTGTAAACAAATAACAGCTCCATATTAATTTAATTATTTTAATTATTGGTATATCAATAACAAATTAATTATAAATGCTTTCAAATATTGATGCATAATCTACCAATCAGAAATTTTCCATTTATCAATGCTTGTGAAAATAAAATTATCAGCAAACTATATAACAATCTCACTTCTTAATCAGAATGTTAATAATAAAAAAAGGGGGGGAGGGGGAAAGAAAGGTTAAAAAAAGAAAGAAAAAAAAGTGACAAAGAGAAATTTCATAGCTCTTGTTCTAACTGCAATTCGACGAAAAATTCTGCTCCTAGTTTTCTTGAGTTAGGTTTAATTTATTAGATTATGGCAAAGCGTGCTAGGGCTATCAGCTTAAGAGGATGGATGCCTTCGTGTAAAACTTTCTTAGGCAAACTGGCTTGTATCCACGTTACACGAGGGTAAACCTACGAAAACCAAAGAATATGTATTGTTAAGAAGGAAAGCTTCGCAGCAGCAGGAATGGCTCCCTTCGAACGAAAAGGGAAACAGCTGTGCATGCGTAAAATATCTGTTGCCAAAAAACGCCAAAGCTCGAAGCTGATGTCGAAGTTCGAACAGGTTCGACGGTCACGTTTATCAAGAGTTCAAAAGCTGTGTGACTCCATTTCTTCTCTCCATGTTGACGGATATAAAATCAGACATCAAACTGCGATATGGATAATGCAAGTTCAACAGCCAGTAAAAGTGAAACTTCACACCTAATTTTCTTATTCACCTTAATCCGTGTTCTTCAATTTCCTCTACACGTGACGGAGGAGGAAAATCTCGGCCAGGTGCAGTACATCACAGAGGGGAAAATTCTCGCCAATAGGTTCCGTCGCCAAATCCCTTGGCGAATTTTCCCTCTTCTTTCTAGCAGCGTAGAAGACAAACTGGTTTACATTACGTCTATGGAGCCTTTCCTTCTTTACACACATTCTTTGATGAAAACGCCCATTCGCCTGGAATCTAACCCAGGTCGAACTACCAGTATTAAGCAGTTTTACGGCTGCGCCGCTGGTGGGTATACTTTTATTCCTCGACAAAGCGACTTTGGATACATACAAAGTGTATATACAGCATTACAATAACATACATATTTTTGTACAAAGTCGGACTTTTTCTGAAACGACTTGCCGAAATTTTCCAATCTTATGCCTCAAATTACGCCTAAATTCCAAACTTTAAAAAAATCACAGTTTAATCGTAATATTTTTGTTATTTAAGAAATGCTATTTATTTTTTAATTTACAATTTCTGAAACAGTAAGATGCCAAAGAGAATTAAAAAAAAAAAAAAAAAAAAAAAAAAAACTTTTTTATAGGTTTTAATTTATTTGTGAATAAAATTTGATACACAGAATTGCCTGCTAGATCACATATTGAAAAATTTGAATATGATATCTGATAAAAGCATATTTGCAGAGAGTAAAGATGAAAATTCATGAAACATTTTCTTTAAATTTTATTTTTGTAACTTTATTCAGTTAATGATTTCAATACAGCTTTTAATCTTCAGTGTTATTTAAAATAATGCGAGTTATACAGGGTGTATTAGTACAGCGGTGACAAACTTACATGAGAGATAGAGTACACCTAGACGATGGGAAATCACATGGGAACGCATGGTCGGAAACGCTTTTCTGGCGCGGTAGTGACGACACAAAGCGTAAAAAAAGGATTGACACAAACAGTGAGACAAAACATGTTTTATTATGTTTAGTACAGCAGAAACCTACAAATAAGAACAAAATAAACAACGATCGTCATTAAAGAAGGTCTTCGAAACTACGACCCCGGACTGTGATGCAGGCCTCACTTTTCTGGCGCATGGAAGATCTGCATCACGAATGGAAGATCGCATGGAAGATGCATCACGCACGATTCCTGCATCACGGTCCGGGTCGCATTTTCGAATACCTTCTTTGATGATGATCGTTGTCTTTTTATGTTGTTTTTTCTTTCTTTCTTTCTTTTTGTTTTTGTTTTGTTGTACTCCGAATAATAAGCATGTTGTCTCACCCCGTTCGTGTCCTTTCTTTGTTGAGTTTTGTGTCGTCACTACCGCTCCAGGAAAGCGTTTCCGATCATGCATTTCTATGTGATTTCCTATCATCTAGGTTTACTCCATCTCTCCTGAAAGTTTGTCACCGCTGTACTGATACACCCTGTATACGTTGCAACTGGAAACCGAAGGAAGGCCGCGATTTGGAGAGGTGGCTAAGGCTCGAAATATGCAACAATTTATAACACTTATGAGCTTTAACCGGATGCTTCGAGGATTATTTAAGAGAAACTAATCAAAATGACAAATTATTTTGATGTTCGCATTTGATGAAAACTGTATTTGAGATTTGAAGGTCTATGTTCTAAAAAATTACAGTTTTATTATTATTACCAACGTTAGTACATATTAAAATATCTCCTTGACGATTTTTTTGCGTTGCAAAAAGATTTAATAAAATAAAGTAAAAATAAATTAATGTAAGAATAAATAGGGTCAGAATTGTTTATTTCAAAAAGGAGCAAAATTATTTATAATAAATAAAGGCAGGTAAACAGGTAAAAGTGGATGGGGCACCAGACTTCACTACAGAATCGAAGGAACTGGAATTGACTGTATGCCCTTTTTCTCGAAGTTGTTACATTTAACATAAGAGGATAATACTAACATAAAATTAGGAAAAGTTACATAATATAACACAAACTGCGTTTCTCCAGCGTACGAACTGACTTTGACATCTGTGATACTTTGACGGAAGACCGATCGCATAGTGTTGAACCATCCGTATGTCTACGGAACATGTTCATGTATGTTCAACATCCATCCTTATGGGTCTGCGGAAGCGTTGAGGTCACGTTGTAAAAAGAAGCACTCAGTCGCTATCAACAAAACACAATGGCGACAGAAGCAGCGATGAACGCTGGATCAAGGAAGGAATGTTTTGCTAAACAATACTTGTTTCTGAATTAACATTATAGAGATAAATCTGTATACCGGAAAAGACAGCAATCTACTGAAATAAGTTAATAAAAAAAAGGTAACTGCAATTACAGTACTAGTTTGCATTGAGCAGTGGAAAATGCCGAGAAAATCAGGTATAAAATGTATAATTCAAGTCTATGAAATAACAAAATATGCCCTGACAGTTATTGTATTTCCTAGTCCTAGTACTGTATACACATTTACTTTTAATAAAAGTGAACGTCCGAGTATTTCAAACTGCTATAGCAAATCAGATAAAACAATAGAAGACTTTCTTTTTCTTTTGAAACAGGTAAAAAGTTAATAACGTGATTTAGAAATTAAACTTGTTAGTCTTTTAAATATTCTACTGCATTAAAAAGTATGTTAAATTTGTATTTCTTCATTTATATACGTTTTTGATTAACACATATTTGTAAACATATCTTTCATTTGGAATATATTTTTTAGAGGTCTAATTTTCTATCGAAACGCCACTTTAAAATTATGTTTTTGTAAGAAAGCACTAGAAGTTCAGAAACAAGCTCTAGTGAAAATTTTAAGCGATAGCACACTGAAATAGGGCCAGAAAATGTAGTTTTTATTAATTAATTTACTTGACGGTGTATCTGTATGTAAGCCAAAACTATAAATGGTATCGGTGTGACGACAGTGGGGGAGATAAAGGTGACGACAGCGCGACGTGTCTTTTGGGGTTCGTGAGTTCGAATACCACGCATTTTTTCCACCCTGTCTGCAACTTTCTTAGCTCTGTGCTCCAATCTGACAGATATTTGTGTTTTATAATTTATTCATATTATCATATGCATTAAATCTAATGTTTTATTTATCTAAATTTTCCCCGCAAGAATTTATTTTGAAAGTTATAACATAATATAAATTTAAAGCAAAGTGTATGTATATAGTATATATATATATGAATGTGTGTATACACTCTTTGGGGAAAAAATTCGAAACACCAAGAAGGAAGTGGTTGTTTTTGATGAAATTGAATATGTATATAGCTCATACACATATAATAAAATGATTAAAAAATTAAGGTCACAGAACCTGTTCACGGCTCACAATAACCCATTAAGTGTTCAAATTAGTAGTTGGTCGAACCGCCCCTCGCGGCAATGCATACTTGAATTCCTCGAGGCAAAGTGTGGTAGAGGTTCCTAATGTCATCCTGCGACACATTCCGCCAGGCATTCATTAGTTGTCGCTCCAGATCTGCGATATTTTGTGGTGCTCGAATCTGGCGGGCCTACTATGTCCCAGACATGCTCGAAGGTCTGGTGACCTTGCTTGCCAAGGAAGAGTATCAACTTCACGGAGACAGTCCAGAGAAATGTGAGCGCCTGGGATTATTTTGTTGGAAAATGGTCCCAGGATAACGTGCCATTAAAGGTAATGCAACCAGCCGCAGGATGGTATCAACATATCGTTGAACTGTTAAAGATGTACGGAGGATTTCCAAAGATGCCCTGTTGTCATAAGAAATAGCGCCCCACAACATCACACCAGGGGTTATGGCTGTATGCCTTTGTGAAACAAAGGCTGATTGTGTCCGCTGGCCCCCGTCCTCTCCAACACGAACAAGGTGGTCATCTGCTTCAAGAATAAAGCGGAATTCATCGCTGAACACTATACGATGCCAGTCTGATGGCAGCCATGACGATCGGCTGCGACACCACTCTAGAGAACTCCGCCGATGTTGTGGGGTCAAAGGCAAACGTCGGAGGCTGCTATCACACGTCGATTTGTTTCGGAAGAACAACTGTTTGGAACAATTTTTCTGCTTTGTCACAACAGCCAATCACCATCGATCGGTTTTTGGTTAACACAGGGCAAACTGGTTTCCCATTACAAACAAGCTGATAGCATTCGAAGCTGGTTCCCCATTACAAACAAGCAACTGATTGGTTGAAAACGAATACTTTAAATTTTTTTGGAAAGAAAGGAAAAAATCGCACGTCTTTCTTTCAATAGCAAACCAGGCAGAAAAATTTTCCGAAATAACCCTCCTCAGAAAAGCGCCATGAGATGGTGGAAAGTACCACGGGAGGTATAGACGTCGCTGTAGTGCGTTGAATAGTCGACAATGATACCGTTGGGGTGGTTCAGGCCTGGCGAACAATCATCCTATCTTGCTTCGCGTTTGTGCTCCTTGGCCTTCCAGAGCCTTCATTTCGTCGGCAATTTCCTTGTAGCAACCATTGCTGCCCGCATCTTTGCACAGCAATGTCTGTACGCTACAAGTGTTGGCCTATTGCTCGGTATGACCACCCAGCTTCATGTAAGCCTATAATACAAGGTTTTTGATATCGTCGTAATGGCATCTTTTGTTGCTTCTTTACGGAATTACAATGGCAGCAACAAAAAAAGATAAATTTTTCGCCTCTGTTACTGGTTTTATACTTTGTGAATTGTGCACTATGATCGCAATTCCTGTTCATTTGCTTTGAAACTTTGATCATTTGCATGTTCGATCAAGATGTTTTTTGTATACTAAATTTCGTCACGATCACAAAAGTCCTTCTTGGTGCTTCGATTTTTTTTTTCAAAAGAGTTTACATATGTTTTCCTTTTACTTTTATGTGAATTTATATTCATGTGCAGTGACTCTGGGATGTTTCAAACTTTAATCTTTCACTACCAATTAACATGAGACAATATAAATGCCCTAAATATTTTTAATAAAACATTTAAATTTTGTTTATAATAATTGCTTTAAAATTCAATCCTCTGCAGCTCAAGCGCAGAAACTACAGAACTAAAAATTTCTGCTTTCTTTACCTTATGCATGTATGTATATACGTATGAATTTAAAATTTGAGCCAGTTTTCCTTAGAAAGTCCCCTAAGAAGGAATCCCTTCTCTAAGAGAGAGAGGGAGATCACATGTGGTTTGCCATATTCAAATAATTTAACCTAACCTTCGCTTTAATTTAATTAAAAAATATTTAATTTACAGTACTGCCCCATACCAGTGAAGTATGAATTGAATCAAGCTACAGCAATGCCGCACGTCTATGAATTAATTTTTTTTAAGAGCACTTGATACAGAAAGGCAGGGGTTCCCAACTTTTTTGTCCCTAAGGGCACATTCTAGAATATCTGCTGGATGGCGAGCACCATTTACGTTTTTCAAGGTGAACTGATCGTTGGATAGAGTTGATATTACATGCACATAAAAGAGATCGGTCACATTTTGCTTTGTGCTGGTATCTGTGTTGGATGCAATTTCTATTTCATTAAAAATGAGAAAACTTTCACATAGAATTTTATTGAAAACTAAAACATTTTTATTGTGATCGCACAGCGGCGGGCACACGATAAACGATCGGCGGGCGCCATCGTGCCCGCGGGCATAGGGTTATGAATCCCTGCAGTAAGGTTTAAGTATTAACCTGAATTTTACCTCCGAGACGACCTTTACCTCAGCAACAGTAGGTTATCAAACGATCTTTCTCATCCTGCACTACGGTAAAACTTGGATCATTATGAGCTTTTCTAAAATTAGATTTTTATTTTTGAAAGATAAGTTTATTTTATTTTTGAAAGATTTTTCTTAACTAAAGATTTGCTCGATTGCATAATTTTTGGAATGAGACTGCAAAGAGCAGATTGTTGCCGACCTCAAACTGTATATTCCTTAATGATGCCTCTTCTTTTGTAAAAATCTGGCCATTTGAAACACAGGTTTGAATCAATGGGTGCACATGGAATATCATTCAGTCATTTACCGGTTTAACAAGTAACCATCATAGATGGAAAGAAATATTTTCAATTTCTTTAATTCATTTTAATTCACTTTTAATCTAATGTTTTTGAGGGCTGCTTAAAATTCATTATGACATATTTATCATGAAGCTGCAAAAAGTTGCGATAAAGCGAAAAAGTAAACCACTTTATTTGTTGCTATGGTGACACCTTCAAACGAAGTACACTGAATCTTGGTGTGCTTCCTGCCTTGTCAAAATGAGCTTTCTTAACAATGATATATCTTTCGGAAGCAACAACAAATCGGCTTTCTTAAGGATGATACACATTTTAGAAGTGTTCTTGCTTTTGCAGTACATATACTAAAATTGGAACTGATTTCAGAAGTATCAACATCACTGCTGTCCATGAACCTATCTTTTTCTTAGACTTTGATTTTTTATCATTCATAGGTATAAAAATATCTATATAGAATTAGAAAAAGTATTAAATACTGGGAAAAAAGTGAGTAAATGTTCTTAATAATACTCTCAGTTTAAGCAAGAAGGAATAAAATCATCAAAACCGTTTTACACTTTGCTAATTTGCATCTCCAAGTCCATTTTTCTAACACTCATCGTCAAATCCATTTCCGGTCCCATTTCTAACATTTCATTCAAAGTAGCAAAAATCTGAAAATTTCTGAACAGCATCCAACATCAACGAATTGGAGGAGCAGGATGACTTTCTAGAAATTGAAAAGATTTTATTATTTTTCTAGGGAATTTATTGGATACTTTGGGAAGAGGCTGAAAGAAAGAAAAAGAAATAGATTTTGGCACTGTCATGTATATATTTAAACTTTTCAGGTGAATACGGTTTGGAAAATTAATTTTAGAAACGAAAAGCACATGCTGAAAATGGCGTAGTAAATGGAGTTTGGCTTTCAAATACTGACGGCTTAAACGAAATAAATTATATGGATTAGCTGCTGATAAATTTTGAGGCTTTAAAGAAATAATATAAGTTTATTGGCTTTTTACCCAGGAACTGGACAAAAGAAGTTTAACTGTATTAAAACTAATCTAATATAAGATGCATTTTGCGAATAATTGTTGTATGTGTAACATGCTTGCATACTTCTTATTAATAATTAACGCATAATTTTGATTCCATTTTGTGATGAAACACATTTTAATATTACTTACAATAAAAGATACATAATTAACAGGAAATTAATTTCCCGGTAGTTATACAAATATTCCATTATTTGATTTTAATAAAATCAAAATGTTTCATAAAATATTAATAAATCTACCTATCAAGTTGTTTATATTTTCTATTTATGTATAAAACAATTGTTATTTGCACTTTTTTTTTTTTTTTTTTTTTTTTTTTGCTACACTTTTAAGCTGAAATGGGAGTTAAATATGCAAACAACTGAACTTCCCATTAATTGTTCTCAGCTAATTTCATTCAAAAAACTTTGTTCATGATTAAGTTTTTGCTTGAGCAAATAAGTCATACTGCAGTGTTTTATACATTGTTACGATTTTTGTATTTATTTCGCTATTTTTAGTAGAATTTGTAATTAAAATTGTTTTACATTCCCTTGCAATGCAGCACGAGACTTATTTGAAGAGAAAGCTACGCCGAAAAAATTAAAATACAGGAGCACGCGCATTTAACATTTTAATAAATAGATATCTCGTAATTGTACTCTTTTGCTATCCAGAAAAATCGAGAAAATACCAGAATGTTCACTTGCATGATTAAAAAGCTTATAAAAGCGGGAGGAAAACATCTCAATTCAGTTGTTTACTTAGTTCTTATTGTTGACTCTAGCGGATTCGCGACGAGATCGGATTAACTTTCTCTGCTTTGTATTGTGTTCTGTGCAACGTTTTAGTAGTATAAAATATAACTACTGTGAGATGCTGTGATATTGTACGAATATTTCTGAGGAAATTTCAGCATTTTGTTGTATTTCTTTGGATAAGAATAAATTTTTTTAACGTTTTATCGACTTGTGCAGTCAATCCATTACGAACCCGTACGCACGCAAAAATATTCAGATAGATACTTTTATAACACAAGTTTAATATTTTATGTCTGTTAATAATTTTATATTCTCGTAACTTTTATCTTATCTAATGAATAACAAAATAAATAAATAAAAATAAAAAGCTATACAGAGATTAGAATAACTGTATGCTGTTCTTTGAGAACTTTAAAAATATTTTTAATAAATCGTATATGACTTCATATTGCATAATTTCTAGACGTTTTCAATTTAACCAACTTTTAATTTTAGGAAACCGATCAGTTGACGTTCTGTACATGAACTACTGTAATCCCTATGATGATAGTTTGTTCAACACTGCTGTAAGGTGTGGCAACCTTCAAGTGACGAAATATTTGCTTGAAAGAGGAGCTACTGTAGACAAACTTGATGAATTTTTGCAATTACCGCTGCACATTGCTTGCAGCGGAAAATGCATAGGTAACTCTAAAAATATTTTGAAAATATTTTCATCATTTTCCCCCATTATGTAATTAAATAATTTGTACGTTCGAACTGCAATTAGTATATTGAATTAGAATTGCAATTAGTACTCAATATATAAAACGTTTGACTCCCGTACGGCAAAAAACTGAACAAGGTATTTAATTCCAAATTTTGCAATTTTTAACGTCATTTTATACCTTGCCTTGAGGGTTCGGTTAATAAATGAATTAGAAAAATTCAAGGCAGATTTTTTTCGCCTTATGGGACATTCAGTAATATTTTTTGTAGTTTACTAAGCGCAGTATTCTTCAATCTATATAATTTTGTTACATTCCGTATGCCGAAAGAATTTTCACATAAATAATTTCTAAGTTTTGAAACGTAAGAAATATGTTGCTAATATTCTCATGATGTTTTATTACTTTAGAATCTTAATCTAAAAATCTTGCAAAAAGTTAATTAAACTAGAAATATATTTTTTATTTTATGTAAATAATGCTTCTAGTTGGCAATAAGGCTTACCAGCGTTTTTTTTTTGGGGGGGGGAGGGACAAGAATTAGGTAAGATCTCGTTTTTGTTGTTGTTGCTAATCTCACTTGTCTGACGTAGTCAGCACAAGCCTACAAAGTTTATCGTGGCAAAAATCTGTCCTTTGCAAGAGTCTTGAGCACCATATAACTGAGAGTACGACTTTAACTCATTTGCTCCTAGTTCTGAGAGAAATCATCCCTAGGGAGTGGTCCGAGGATCTTCCAACCTTCTTCCCCTATCATCAACCTCTCAAAAAGGCTTCTGGATCTCCGCCTATTTCAAGTTTCCCCGTGGCGCAGAGACACTGTACTTTTACACTCATCCATCTTTCTTCGGGATTCGAACCCAAGCCCTTCGGTCCAGCAGTCAGAGTCATCAGTCTGTTTATTATGAGGGCAACTAATAGACGGGCCACCAGGAACGGACAAATTACATCCATGCCTTCTCCGGGATTCGAACCCGAGATCTTCGGTACGGCGGTTACCCCTAACCTTATCCCGGTTGGGCGATAGATCTCTTTTTTGAATAAATTATATTGATCAGTATGTTTTATGACAATGTGCATAGAAACGCTCGTCACTTATCTTAGTGTAATATTAACATCATCTTGATGTAATGTTAACATCAGGAATCGTTACTTAGACTGATATTTTATTGTTAGTTAAATTGTTTGTAAGGAAATGTTGCGCTCTTAAATTTGTGTAAGGACTCTGTATATGATGACTAAATTAAATGCCTCGATCAGTTTTTGTCGTACGGGAGTCGCACATTTTTCTACTGTATTTTTTGTAATGAATATAATATTTTCTTAAATATAAGTATAGATACCATAAGAAAAGCTAGATTTCTCAATTTTTACAAAATTTATTTATTTATTTATTTATTCTCGTTTAAATATGAAAAATGCCAAAATGTAAATATATGCATCATTTAAAGCATTTTCGTAACAGCAGAATATGTCTACGGCCAGTGGTTTAAAAAATAAAGACCAAGTAAGCAGTTTCGTAAACACAATTTGCATACGTATATTGTATTTAAATTTGCATACGTACACGATAAAAAATTGTCAAAATAAAATACTAACTTTAATTTTCAATAGACCCTTAACTTTCCCTTTTAATTTTTGTTATTTTCTCTTTCTGTCCTAAATATAGTAACTGTTTATAATAAATCTTTTCAAAATGCGTCACATCAAAATTAATCCTCTTCACACGATTTTGCATAATGCTAATGATGCAGATTCTTATACAAAGCCTCATCCAATAATGGTGTCCATATTCACAAAGTGATACTTAAATTATCCAATCAAAATAAGATTAACAGTAAGTGAATCAATTTTAAGCAAACCTTCATATGTAAACTAAGCATTCTTTCTCTCGGTTTCTCGAGACGGGTCCGAGGGTCTAGCACCCCTCTTTCCCTACCAGCAACCTCTCGAGAATTCGTCGCATATTTAGAGTGCCCCATGCTGCACAGACATTAAACATTTACAAACATCCATGCCTTCTAAGGGATTCGAATCCGAGCCCTTCGGCACGACAGTCAGCATCGCTAACCACTATCCCGGTTGGGCGGCGGAACTGCAGAGGTTTTGCTGTAATGCTCTTTCTACATGAATTTCGCTGCATCGATTGCAAACATTGTGGTGTCATGTTTCCGGTCTTTATTTGTAACCGATAGGATTTTTATAGTTAAATGGAGAAATTAAAGAGTTTTGATGTATTGAAGCGTTAAATCATTCATAATTATGTTATAAAACTAGTTCTGAGATCAAAACCGTTTGAAAATCAGTAGTTGAAAATATTGTATAAAAATCAAAGTTAAAAAAAATAATTCTTATAATTCCTTGAAATTTAGTACAGTTTCTTTTCATAATTCTTTCATGGTAATGCAAAATTTAGTCAATATTTAGCTTTTACCTGGAATAGTTTATATCCCGGGAACTCGAAAACCAGGTTTTATATAAGATTGTTTGATATACCTGGGGGAGGGGGTTCATACGTGTCTTGATGTTTTCACTACTTTTCAAAAAAATATTAAGTACATTTTATCTTAACATAAAATTATGAATGTTTTTTTCATTTATGTGATTGTATATTTGAAAAAATATTTTAAAAATCATAATTTTATTTACGAATTCGTAGGACAAAGTCACACTGTCTGCGCTTGAATTTACACCATAGCAGTAAAAAAAAGGTTTCAATGAAACGTTTAAGCCTTATTTACTTCTGCATTGGAAGATTGCAGAGTGAAATAATAACTGAGGATTTGGCAAAACTGAGGGAAAAAAGTGTAATAAGTAAAGTATTTCTTACATATTTAAAAAGTTGAAGTTTATTTCTGTAAAAATCATTATGGATTTTACACAAATTCAACAGTTCTCTTTTTAAATTTTAGACCAGTTTTTTTCCTTGTAGTGTAAAATATTCAATTATTCAAAATAAAAAATTAGATGCATTTAGGTGAAAACACGGTGACATAAAATACTTACTCAGAAGGTGAAATGCATAGGATATGTTAATGTAACAAAATATTGTTCCTGTTCTGAAATTTAATCAATTATTATCTTTCATTAAATAACATTCTTAAAAAATTCAATGAATTTAAAATTCTGCAAAAAAATGGTTAACCTGACGTTTCTTTAATTTAAAGTATTACACGTGTGAGGATTTATTTATTTATTTTGACCAATAGTTAATTTATTTAAAGCAAATCTTCGCTTCTAGTCATTAGGCTTGTTCCGCCGGCTTCTACGAGCCAAAGCCTACCTGCGCGTTTAAATTATCCTGTGAGCCGTTAAGCTAGTTTAATTACATTTTCTTTTCAGTTCAACATTACTTATTTAAGTTAAGCCAGAAGTGCTGGTTTATGTAAACTCACGTGGGGTCGTTCGTAAACTCTTTGCGATCAAATAAACGGTCATTTACATCTTTCTTTTGACTGTCTGTATCATAAGACCAGAGGAATAATCTCTCTGCAGTCTTTCTAGAGCTTTTTAGTTTATGTTACCAAAGAATACGAGACTCTATACGCTGATTAAAATCCGTTTATTAAGTTTCGTTAAAAGTAAAATGATATAATATTTTAGCAAAACACGATTCCTATGCGCTTAAGGGCAAGGACATATTTATCGGGGACTTTCTAAGGGAAACTAGATCGTATATGTGCATAAAACCACGAAAATGCCCAATTAATGAGCCCTTCCGCCGGGATTCGAGCGCTTGTTAAACTACACTGGTGAAATAAATTAAGAGAATTTGCATAATTTATCGAACTGCATGAAAAGAACTGAACTGAAGGAAAAACCACTGCTTCTAGATAAAAATTCAAATCTTGTACCTCAAATACGTAAGCGTACACGTGTCTGTAGGCGGAGCCAGCAGAAAAAACAGGCTTTATAAGCGCGTGGAGGGTAAGACGAATTGCGTTCGTTAGCACATCTCGGAGAATTTCTTGGTGTTATCTCGCAACATTAGGTGAAATTCACATCAGAACAGTAAAAATGAGTAACCATCAACGATGATGGAATGAGGTGGCGAATTGTGGGGAGGCTAGAGGCAGGCCAATCGCAAGTCCAGATATACCATATTAATGGTATATCTGGAAGTTTAATTTAACGCCCAGCGTCGTGTGTGACCTATGAAAGCAATTCCAGGATACTGGATCCGTCGAGAGAAAGCTTGCGTAAGGTCACCTAAGAGCCACGACGGCCAGATAAGATTGCTATTTGTCCATTTTAGCGAGGCGTAACAGAGGGGCTACAGCTTCTCAGCTCTCTCAGGACCTTTATGCAGCCACAGGAACCCGTGTAACAAGGGTGACCAAAACACTGAAGGAGAGAGGGTTCTTTGCCAGAAGACCGGCTGTTTACGTTCCGCTAACGTCTACGGACAGATTAATATGGTGCAGGCAGCATAGTGATTGGAGTACGGAGCATTGGGCGACCGTTCTGTTCAACGACGAGTCCCGTTTTAGCCTAAACACCGATTCTCGCCGTTCGAGAGCCAGGGACCCGCTACCTACTCTCCAATGTCCGCGAAACCAACAATTATGGCAGTGGCGGTGCAATGGTCTGGACAGGCATCATGTTGGATGGCCGCACACCTCTCCACGTCTTTGATAGAGGCTCTGTGACTGGTGTGAGGTATAGGGATGAGGTCTTGGAGCCCTATGTTCGCCTTTTCCAGGCTGCAATTGGCCTCAAGTTCATCTTACAGGACGATAACGCGAGGCCACATAGAGCTCTTCTGGTCGACGAATTTTTCGAGAGTGAGGATATTTGCCGGATCGATTGGCCAGCCAGATCTCCAAACCTCAATGCTATAGAGCATGGCTGGGACGCTTTAGGGAGGGCAATTGCAACTCTCAACATCCCTCCGAGAACCATCCAGGAACTGAAAACAACGTTGCTGAATGAGTGGGACCAATTGCCACAGGCACTGATCCACCTTATTTCCAGTAT